GAAAAAAAAAAAAGAAAAAAAAAGAAAAAAAGTAATTACTTTTCAATCGTTTCTACGTACGTCGCAATCTTGCCTAGTCACCATTTCGATTTCCTCGAGTCAATAATGGACTTGGATGATAATCGAGAATAAAAAGAATTTCGTAGACGATTCGAGGTTAACGCACAGTGGTTGAACCGGCAGACTTGAAAGTCGTGGTAGTCCAGGTAACGGCCGGCTATTCTCTTATCGTCTTCCTGAACGTCAGCTTTGCGTGCAGTCTTATGCTAATCCAACCGAGTATATAAGCTACTATTGGTCAGTGCTTGACTTCATCCCCTCGAGTATCCCTACCCTTCGAACCTTTCCAGACCAACTCCAACCTACCAACACAGTAGCCTTGTGTCGGCTCACCCTCGCTCTTCAGTGCCGTATTAATTCCGATCGTTGTTATCATTGAGATGAAATTTAACGCTTGCAAATTTTTTACGATTATCTTCTACTTATTCTTATATCGTAAGACAAATTCATTAGAAGGACGAATTTTCTTTTTGTTTGTTTACTTTGACCTGAATATTTTACTGATTAATTATCCTCTTAATGATTCGACATCACGAATGAAACGTTTCTATCACGTTTCTTCTTTACTTTATTTTATTATAACGTAGATTGATCATTCGATATAAATTTGTGATTTCGTACAGTTAACTTTGACATAACTAAACTTCTATACATTTACTTTGATATAAATTATAAAGTTGATCATAATTCAAAAAGACATGTGGTTGACATTTATAGCTGTTATCTACTCTAAGTTTGCTACCTTATAAGCATACATACCCTTTCACAAAGCCTCTTATTATCTGTATAATATCAGCAGTTCATTCACCTAGGGTGACATTGTACAAAGAGCCGATACTGCGTACAGTCCTATGACACCTGCAAGGATGCATTTGTTTTACGCGTGATTTGCATGCGCCAGTCTTTTGCGTATGTCGTTCACTCGACACGCAATAGCGGATCACTTTGGCGGCCTCATTCCGTCGGATGGCCAAATATTTTTTTTTTTTTCTAAAAAATTAATCAATTAATTAAATCAAAATATAAATTTTATTTACGTTGAATATTATTGATCGAAAATTTTACACTTATTAATTATTTTGTTTATTTTTTTATTTAAACATTTTTTTATTTACTTAATATTATAATATTTAATTATGACTATTATTTCGACAAAAGTATGTCCCAAATGATGATAAGCTTTTCGATAATCTAATAACTTTTATTTTACTTCTAATTATTCTTCGATTCATTATTCTTATATAATAGTCGAATTCAGTATACAATAGTAATCCATGAAAAAAAAGCAAACTCTAACGACTTTTTTGCAAACGAATCACATCACCCTTCATTAACGAACCCTCCCGATTGGGACCCTGACTTATTGAACTCTGACTCATTGTATGAGAACAATAGTGGTTGCTTTTCTTATAATACTTATTATAGATCAAATAGTTATAAAGAAATATTAGTTACTATTTTAGACAATTATAAAATCCTTTCACATTATCATGTATTCATAAGTAAAAATGAGACATAAGATATTTATATATATATATATATATATATATATATATATATATATACATATTATTAAATAATTATTATACTTATGAAAAAAAAAGATATCAACTTGTTAAAGACGTCGTAAGAATGGAAGATTAAAAGCACACATAAAAAGAATGTAGGTCAACGACGATTCATATAGAACACATACAAGAATACCTTCACAATAGGGTTGCCATAAAATCTCCTATCGAGGATCGGTCATCATCCAGCAAAGGGGTGGTTGTACCCTCGAGTGGTTTACCGAGTTTCTTTTGGTGGGGAGGACTTGTTCGCGACACGATGTACACGTGACGACGATCGCCCTGTCGGCGTCGGCGTCGAAGGGGTTAAGCGACAAGACTAGCCACCCCTACGAAAGCTTTCCACATGTACACCGCTCGTGGCCACGTGAGGAGTGTTTCTTGTGCGATCCTCGAAAATGTTGGCCCTCGATCACGGTTGAAAAAGCTTACGCGCCAAAAGGATTGTACGAAAAGCGTTGAGTGGCCGATTCATTTCGGGGATGAATTATTTTTGGTGAATTGACGGAAATGAGTTTTCTATTTTAAAGAATAAGTTAGAAAGACAGAGAGAGAGAGAGAGAGAGAGAGAGATTTCAAAAAAGTGGATAAATTTTCGAATACGTAAAACATGCGTTATTCGTGGACTCTGACATCCTGAATGAAATTATTATCAGGTAAGCATTTCATATTTTTTTTTTTTGTATTCATTTTTTTCTATACAATATCTTTAACGTAAATTCTTTTTGCATAATTTAAGGTGAAACTTTTTTGCTCATACGTATCTCAAAAAAAAAAAAAAGAAAGAAAAAGAGATACCGAAATAAAATAAAATTTGAATAAATTTAAATAATAAATCTTTCTCACAAATTTCATTGACACAAACAAGCGATTTAGTTACGTTAGATTCGTAATATATTTTATCGTTAGGATTTATAAAATCATAAATATCACATTTTATTCAACGACCCGAATTACTATCATTCCGTGAAGAAAACAAGATTAAATTGTTTTCCATTATTTTTAATTTTATCTCGACGATTAGAAACACGCTTCTTGGTACATCGACAGGCCGATGCCGAGGTTACATTCATCACGAGCTGAGATATTTGATCGCCCCACATTTTGCTACGCGACAGCTGTTGACTTTTTAATAATTGCATTCAGCGCTATCAAATCTTTACTCTTTTCGTATTTAATCAAAAAGAAAATCCTCACTTTCATTTTTGCTTACGACATATGATCGATGTTTATAAATGACAATAATTAAGGTTTTGTGCTATCGTTTAAACAATTTTCTATAAAATTTCCTGAAAAATTGCAAAAAAATTATCTTTTTATCTGATAAATCCTTGCTCAACAAGTTTTTAGATGAATATAGTCGTGTTTAAAGAGGCTTACAAACCAGTCACGTTCTCACGTTGATTAATAATACATAATCATAGATGCATAGTCGTAGATTCAACGTGCATTATATAACTAATGAATATTTATGTATCGACTCAACCGCTATATAGTATGTAAACCATCGTAAGAGAAGAAAAAAAAAAAAAAAAAAAAGAAAACTATTATCGATCCAAGTCTAGTGGACACTGACCGGCAAAAGCCCATTGAAGTATTATATTATACATGTTATTCGATCGAAACTTCCGGTTAAAGCTTATTATTGTTTGCGATTTTGATTATTCAAGAGAAAATAAAAGAATTTTATCTTAATCATGATTGAAAATCGAATGATTTTTTATTTTTTAAATTATATAATTATCTCCAATTCATTTTGCTACAATTAATGTTATCATTTAGAAAATTTAAAATACGTATAATTAATTTAAAAATAAGTATATCATAAATTAACATAAATAAACATAATGATCATAGAGAATAAAAAATACATACCATAAACTTCCTACGAAGTAACTTATATCAAATATACTCATAACGTTTTATATATCTTATAATGTATGTACATCGAATGTTGTGTCCGATAGGAACGGTCGATGACCCACATTTGAATTTTTTCCGTAGACAATTATATCTACATACATCTTATAATTTTACATATATATATATATATATATATATATATATATAAAAAAGCAATGAACTTTTATATATATATATAAAAGAAAGCAATGAACGTAAATAACTTTATTGTCATTCAATAAAACCGCTTATATAGTGTCACGTATAAAGCTTACAAGATGTGATGATATAGCTTGTGCTTTAAGAATAAGTGTTTTAAGTGATAAGCAATTTTAACAAGTAACGAGTGTAAAGCAAGCCATAAATCTTTCTTTGAATTTAACATGAAACGATGAGCATCATCGCTCTTTTTAAGCAAATAATGATAATCAATTTCTAAGTTGATTCCTTTGATAAAATGAAAAAGTGTTAGTAATAAAAAAATAAAATGACAATAATGAGTGAAAAAGCGTCAGGTGCAATTTCGTAAAGATGTACATAACGATTACTTATGACCTCATTTGACGAAATCGATAATCATATCATTATCAATAAAAATCATTCAACAAGTTCAATATATGTCAGTCATTTCTTTAAATATATCTAAACATATATGTTTAGATCAATTTATATCAATGAAATAGTTTCGGAAATAAATTGATAGATACCTAATATTAAAACAAAACAAAAGAAAAAAAAAAGAATTTCTTTTCGAACCTATCATTTCTTTATTTTCACATAATCTTCTATCGACATTTTGCGAAAAGATATCAATTATAGATATTACGTATAAGTAGCCCTTTCGTTCGATCGTCCAACGATCGATATATTTCGTCGAGCGTGTATAGGTATTCTCAGAAATTACACAATACAAAGAAATCGTACAAAATGTATACTTTCATAAATTTTTTCTTTATTTTCATTGAGAAACTCATTGAGAAAGTAATATTCGATATTTTATTCATAATAATTATTCTCATCGTTATCGAAAGTATTCATTAACATAGAATTTTACAATTGAAAAGATTTAAAGAATATTTCAAAGAACTTTCACTTACAAGTACTATTAAAGTTTTCTCGAAAAGTGAAGATCATCAAGAATTGCCCTATCACGCACCTAAGTAACGGGTGAAGACCAAGTAACTCGTGTAAATAATTACTGCATTTGATAAAGTGGAACGACTGTCGGACTTCACGAATGTTTCCTGATTCTTGCAATATTTAAAGAAGAAACAGAAAGTTCAACGTAACAAACTATCGATTTTTACTTTGACCACTTGTACGTAGGAAGAAAACGTATTAAACGTCTAAACGATAATCTTTACGTATTTTAATATTGAAATAATCAAGATTACTAATAAATCGTTTATATCTCAATGAAATTTATTGTTATGACTTTTTTTGTTTTGTTTTGTTTTTTTTTTTTGTAGAATGCCCCTTGTAGGAGCATGGTTAAAAATATGGATTTATTTGAGTTTCATCTTTGGATGGACAATAGGTGCACGACCACGATTTGATACTTCCACGGATATGGGATTGGTTTTGATACCAGCTGACGCGGAAGTCGATTCAGTTATATTTCGATTACGAGCTACCGATCAGGATGCAGATTTTCCTCTTATTTTTGAAATCACTGGTAACTTAATAAGTCTATATAGTATGATCTTGATCGAACTATCTAAAGAACGATTAAAAATCAAAAGATTCTATTGAACGTAAAATTTTCATATCTTATGTCCACTAATGATATACTTATGTCCACTAATGATATACTGCAAGATCACAGAAGAAAAGAAAGGAAGTAACTTTCTAATTTTTTCTTTTTTTTTTTTTTTTTTTTTTTTTTATGACATATAGCAACAATTACACCAGTTGTGAGAATCGACAATCTGCCTTGTACGCTCTATAATAAAGTGTGCCAGGCTAATGTAATTCTAACGAAGCGTCTAATGCCTGGTCGTCTTCATGATTTCGCTGTGAGGGTTAAAGACTCGAAGGGTGACTCGAATTCAATGCAAGCGACCATTTCTGTCACGAATGCTACCACTCAACGTGATAAAATATTCCCGCACATTCCTTCTCTGATAATGGTACCCGAGGTAAGAGTTAATTGCACATAGCAAATAGCAATGGATTTTACATCGACGATTATACATTTAATTATTTCAATTCTATCATATAATATTTAATTCTTCTAATTCGTTATTTCTTCGTATTTTTTTCTCTATGACTATGATTAAAAAAAAAAAAAAAAAAAGAAAAATCATAAATCTATTAACGACATTTTGATAATAAATTTGTTTTTGTTAATAAATAAATTATTGCCGATTATTAATTTTTTTAAGGACACTAAACCTGGTAAGGAATTAGATTATCTTCTCGTTCGAGCTAACTCCTGGAGTGGTAAGCCAGTTTACATTGAGTTATGGGTAAGTCCAATCAATATTTTTTTCTTGACAACTTTTACTTCGTACGTAAGGAGCAACAATAAAAATTTGTTTTCTCAATATTTTCATAGCAACCGAAAGAATTGTTTACAATCAGACAACGACAAACACCATCGCAAACTCGAGGAGTTATAACGTTGATCGGTGAATTGGATTTCGAGACTCAATCCATGTATACTCTCACAATGTACGCGACGGTGGGTTTACTCAATCACTTATTTTCGATAGAATTAATTCAAATCTAAGTAATTTCATTACTTAGGATCCTTACACAGAACCTGGAAAGGATACAAGAAATATTGCTGGTTTAAACGTCGTGGTTGTAGTCCAAGATGTACAAGATGTACCACCAATTTTTACTTTGGCACCACCTTTGACGAGGCTCAACAATTCTATACAACCTGTAAGATTTTAGATCATATTATTTTTATAATATATCCTTAAATTAATAATTAGATGTAGTTAGATTATATGTATATATATACCATTATTTTTTCAAATGCTATAATTGAATTTTAATTAAACTAAAATTCAGTTAAAACTTGTTTTATGATATAAGATTAGTGTCTATTTTTTATTATAAAAATAATAGATATAGATCACTTTTAAATATGATGTAAACAGGAATGGTCTATTTATTAAGAAATAAAATTCGATTTACAAGTTGTAATATCCTTTCGTGAGTCAATTCGTTTATCATTTTTACATATCAAAAAATATTTTTATCTTTCTTAGGGGGATATAATATTACGAGTTCATGCAGAAGATGGAGATAAGGGCGTTCCTCGAGAAATCGTATACGGTCTCGTGTCAGAGGGCAATCCTTTCACGCCGTTTTTTAATATATCAGAAACGACAGGTGAGTAAACATAAAGATGAGTTTCTTATTTTACAAAAATAGTTTTAAATGCATAGAAAAGAGAACATACAAAATGTAAATTCATATGTTTTCCTTTTAATAACATAATCGGTCTATTCCTATATGGAATGACCTAACTATTATCTTAATTATGATTTGTCTTACTTCTATTTGCCATTTTCTACTTGCTATTTTTACTCCTTATTTTATCACACAAGTTCGATTTTGTGAAAGAATAAATTGAGATCTCATCTTACGATAATACGTTAATACAAAGATTGCCATGAGTTAAGATTGATTTGTACGATAAAGTTTAAAATTTCTTTTCTCGTAAAAGTAAAAGAAAAAAAAAAAAAAAGAAAAAGGAAAAAAGAAAAAACTTGTATGATTCTTTTTCAAAGTATCTAATAAAAATGTACATTGTCACGTAGGAAATGAACTTACGACCGTAAGAAATCACTTCGAAAGATCGATATTGTTAAACGCAAATCTACTTTACGTCTTGGTCATTTTTGTTTAGAAATTCCGAATGACGTCTTTAATTTATGTCCGACACACACTACTGACCCGGTTTCCGTGAAAACCTTTCGACAATGACTAAAGACGGAAATTAATTCTCCGCCAGATCGACGCTGTTTCTTTTTACCTTTTTTCCTTTTTTCCTTTTTCCTTTTTTTTTTTTTTATCTTTCCACTATCCGTTGTTATCTTTCCGACAATGATTCATCGCTTTTCATGCATAAGGCGAATCGGAAAGAGAAAAGAAAATTACGCGCGTAATTTCGCGGTGATAGATAAAATGGATCGATACTCGCCGACATCAAGAGTATATTTGCTTTTAAGGTAAGAGCAGGTAAGAGAACGAATTATATTCTCTTATATCGAGCTCTATTTTCAAATGAAATGCTTATTTAGTATGAATAAAAAAAAAAAAAAAAAAAAAAGAAAAAGAAAAAGAAAAATAATAATATGACAAAAAGTATTGCGAATAAAAAGTCGACGGAAGAATAAACTAATATGATATAACAAATATATGAAAAAGAAAAAAAAAAAAAAAAAAAGAAAAGAAAAAAATGTTGAGAAAATTAATGCATTAAATGAAATAGAACGTACCGTATTACCATTATGAATGAGAAATATAGTTGACGGTACGAGTTTATGCTCTAGACTTTTAATTAATGTGTCCTTTTACTTTCCCTTATCGCATTAAAAAAAAAAAAAAAAAAAAAAAAGAAACAGAGAAAAAGGAAAGAAAGAAAAACGAGTGTCGAGATAAATTCGAAAGGGTACCTTCTTATCCGAGGTCATCGAGGCACTTGGATTTTTCGTCGAATGACCGTCCGCGCGAATGAATCATACTCGAGGTAAGAAGGTAACGAAAAGAAATGGCCACGACGGTTCTGGCCAGTTTTACAAGCGAAAGTATCGATCGTAAGAAGGGTCACTCTCTGTTTTTCAAACCATGATGCTTATCTTTTCATAGCAAGGAGCATGCGATATAATACATATACATATATACATATACACATACATATATATGTATTGTATACACGCACATACGTACATAGAAAGTTAACAATTTCTTGACTCGATTTAGTTCGTTGTTGCCGCCGTTACCTTAGCCGTTATCGTTACTTTACGTTTAAAGCCACGCGTCTTTGTTTTCTACCACCTTTACGTATTTAACTTCGAGTACGACACGCATTCAAACGAAAATTACTCTTATTGCTTTACGGCTTTCATGTTGTGAAAAAATAAATTACTACGTTAAAAATTGCACGTTAATTATACGTGAAATAATAAGATTTATATTTATAAATTTATATTCATTTTTAAATTAAAACAATAGAAAATTATTATCATTCATTATATTAAAAAGTTTAAAGATATATCTATTTATATTTATTATATATTTAGTTATTATTGTATTATAAAATCTCTCGTAAGTTATTATTTAATAAAACATATAAAACTTTGAAACAAATAATATGAATGTATTTTATAGTCATCGCTTTTCTGAAAATGTTCTTTAGTTACCATCTATAGTCGTTCCAATTTATACAACGAATGAATGCTATAATTATATTAAAATCAGACCATACGTACGTACAAATGTAGAATATCCTGACGATAGTTTATAATTAATCTATAAAAAGAATAAGAAATAGTTCCATTGATAATGTACTTCCTCATTCAGGAGAAATCGTTCTTGCCAGACCGTTGGAGGAACTAACACAAATCACTCACGTCGGTGCACCTGTCGTACTTAGCGTCGTCGCGGAAGAAATTAGAAGGACTCGGGAAGAACCACCTGCACAGGCAACCGTCGTTGAAGTTGGACTCTTGCTTGGAGAACCAGGAAATAGTCCGCCTTATTTCGAAAGTGACACGTCAGTATTTCAGACATTAAATTATTCCACTAATAATTCATATCTTTATTTAATGAGAACAATTATTTTAATATCTAGAAAAGATATATATATATATATACGTTCAATTTTATTAATTAGATATTGGCCAATATTATAAATACATATATTCACGATATTATCATTCGCAGTTATGTTACGGTGATAGATGAAAATCTAGAACCAGGAACTGTAATTGGTTTTGGCGATCAATATTCGACAAAAGTGCGAGACGAAGATATCGGTAAAGCTGGTGTATTTGCGCTCAAATTAGAAAATAATAATGGCACTTTTGAAATTAATCCTACCGTTGCTGAACGTACCGCGGATTTCATTATTACGGTACGAGATAATACATTCATCGATTATGAAATATACAAAAGCTTGATCTTCAAGGTAAATATGATACTTTTAACATTAGTTTTATTTATAGTAATAATCAGATTATTATTAATGTATATAAATATATATATATATATATATATATATATATATATATGTTATTTGATTAATTTTTATTCTAGATAGTCGCTCAAGAAATTGGTCCAGCTACGAATTTATCTACATCCGTACCGGTGACAATTTATCTACGAGATATCAATGATAATCCGCCAGTTTTTGAACAGGATTCTTACGAGGTGACATTATCGGAAAATGTTACAGCCGGTACACGTGTCGTACAGGTAAAAACATTAATTGGAGATAAAAGTGTGAAATGACGATGAATGAAATAAAAGTAGAATTTTCGTTTAAAAAGGTACACGCTACCGACAAAGACACAGGAGATTTCGGTAGTATACAGTATACTCAAATAATCGGTCAAGGTAACGAAGCATTTACAATGGATTCTGATAGAGGATTAATAACGGTAGCTATGGGATCGTCTTTGGATCGTGAAATCGCATCTAGATTGGAATTATCGGTCGAAGCACGAGATGAAAATGGCAAGGGCAATCGAGGTGTCGTACCTTTGATAATCAATCTGATCGATGTAAACGATAATGTGCCGATATTCGAGAGAAGTATTTATATGTTCTTTTTAAATTCTGATTTGACTAATTTCACAACATCGGCCATGATAAAGGTAATTCAATTATATATCATTTAATTTTATTATTCTTAATCCAATAAAAAATAAATCATCATTGATAAGTTTGTACGTTATAATAAAGAAAAAATTAAAAATGTATATTTATATTTCTTAGGCTACAGACGCGGATGCTGAACCACCGAACAACGTGATCAGATACGAGATCATTCACGGAAATTACGAGAATAAATTCTATTTAAATGAGATCACTGGTGAATTGATTTTACGATCGCCCATTACAAAAGTTAGAAGAAAGAAACAAAGTACTGCCGGGAGATTGGCTAATAAATCGCAAAAAGAATTACATAGAAACGATAATACGAAAGAATTGATACTAAAGACGATAACAACAATGCCGACTAATCATGAAATATCAAAACCATCCAATAGGAGTGAATTATTAAGAAAAATTCAAGAATCTGTTAAAACTCGAAGAAAACGAGAGGACGACGACGCTCTGTATACTTTAACAGCTAGAGCATACGATCTTGGTAATTTTTAAATGTACATGAATATTTTCACAATAAGATATTAAAAATATTATTGTTCTTTTTTTTTTAATGTTTTTCTTTTTTTTCTCTCTTTTTTCTTGTTTTTTTTTTTCTTGTTTTTTTTTCTTTTTTTTTTTTAACCGAACAATCACAGGCGTACCACACCTGTCGAGTTTAACACAAATAAAAATAATGAGTGGTGGTGCAGCAGAGGATCGTATTGTAACGTTCGTTTTACCAGAAGAACATCCAGATCCAGTGAAAACTGCGAAAACATTGGCTACGATCACAGGTGCAAAAGTAATCGTTCAAGACATACGTCCATACGTGACAACCAACGATACATCTAATATGTCAAACGACGCTAAAAAGTTAGTTCTATAGTTATTTCAAATATTTATAAAGAAATATCGTGCTCGATTGCCAATCATTCGAATGATTTTAGGAGTATCGTTGTTGCACGGGTAGAAAAAAGTACTTCCTTCGTGGACATAGAAAAAATTCGAGAAACTTTAGCTGCTAACGGAGTTGGTATAATAAATGGCACAATAATGATGCCTGACTCAACCGGAAAAACAATGATAACTAATATCACTAATACTGTTACTAATGTGCGTAACGAAGAAGTTATAGTAAGTATAGTTTGAATAATGTTTATGATTTAATATATCTATTGTTTGATTCAAGATTATTTGTTGGATTTAATGTTATTAATTTCCATTATTATTATTATTATTATTATTATTATTATTATTATTATTATTATTATTATTATTATTATTATTATTATTATTTTTATGAAGATTTACATTTGCTATGTCTGTACGTCAGTATGATGAACTTTTTTCATCTTTGTACGTGGATTTCATATTTCCGGGAAAATAAGAAGGCAGAATTATGTTTCAGACGGAGTACAAAGCTGAAAATAAAATACTTTTCTGGTTGCTCATCATTTTGGGCTTATTGATGCTCCTTGCTATCGCTGCTTTGATCATTTGTTGCATTTGTCCTGGTTGTCCTTTTTATATGGCACCTAGAAAACGTCGAGTACAATCATCGGAAACTTTAATCGTCCGATCGGACGGAAGACCGAAGAGACATCTTCATCGAAAGCAACCGACAATCGTTCATGGTAACTAAATCGGAAGACATCCATCTCTACGAGTTCGTGAACTATTCACAAGTTCATTTTGATTTAATTATTAAGATTTAAAATTATATAATATGAGATATACATATATATGTATATATATATATATATATATATATATATATATGTTCTATAACGATCGAGTGTGTTTGAATAATTATACTGCCATATATATATATATATATATACATAAATAAGTTAGCATTTTATAAATACGTAAGATTTATAGCGATTTATTCCGCATAAAAGTTCCTGATTGTTCAAAAATATTTTATCTGTATAATCAATTTTATATATCTCTATCTTGTTTATATCAAATTTTGTAATATCACGATCAACGATTTGCAATGTGTATTACTTGTGTTACTTTCGATCGATCGAAATAGATATATTACAATCACATTATAGGAATCACTTTTATATATTCTTATTTTTATATATTCTATATAATGTCAAACCACAGATAATCTTTATACATAATAAAATAGAAAATTTCGTGATAAGAAAGGAAGCTCATATCTAAGGTTATATGTTTCTAGTAACCAATAATCAAGAAAGGAAGCAAGCGTGGAGTGCCGATCCAACTCGAAGAAATTGGCAATTCAATCGACGAAACGTGAAAAATTGTGGCCTGTCTTCTCTACCGGGTGACGTAGCTTATATTTCGACACACGCGAATGAAGGACGAATGAACGTGGAATCCTCGAGACAACGAGATGATCTGATTTACGATAATTCCAGAAGAATTACTGGACAAGATCGAATGTACGTTGAGGATATCGAGAGTATAAAAATGCGAGATTATCAAATGGACGATGGTGTAGATTCTTTACAACGCGATGAAATCGAACGTAGCTCTGATCATCCTCGACAAAGTTATAGATACGAACAAGAGCAAGATATAAACGATGATAGAACGATCAGGGAACAACATTTTTATCGCGAAGGAAACGCCGAGATATTGCGATTGGTGACAAGAGGAGGAGAAACCGAGGACAATGTTATTCAACATCATGGTACAACCGTAATCGTAGACGGCAAGGATATTCTTCTTAAAAGATTTATGGAAGATCAAAAAATAAGACAAGAAGCATCGATTCAGGATATCGATGGTACACGAAGTATAGAATCGACTCAAAGAATTCGCGAAACGACTCATCAGCAACCAGAGATTATACTTATACCACAAACTTTAAACATCGCTCATAGTCAGCACGTAGATGAAAGTGGTCCAGGTGTACAGAAATTACTTATCGATCGTATAGATTACGAGGATACTCCTAAAGAAAAAGTTATTCATATTTCTGACAATGTACAACCTATCAGGCAAGAATCTACGATCGTTGTTGGAGGTGGTGGTGGTGCTTCTGAAAGTACAGATAAACCAACGATATTAAACAAAGATAACGTACAATCTGTTAACGTTCAATCTTACTCGTTTCATGATGTAGAATTGGCACGACAAAATGCTTTGCTGACTAGACTTTTATTGGAACGTGAAACCAGAGCGAGTGGTCCTGCCATGATGGATTCTACGAGTTACTTGGAGACTCAAAGTTTACCTGGACAAGTAGCTATCGCAACTCAAACCGATAGAACTGCTGCTACTCAAACTGAAAGACATGTGAGAAGTAGAAGTGACAATGATGAATCTGAGGATGAGTCGAGGATAAGGAAAAAGATGAAAACTAAGAAGAGATACGAGAGTGACTCAAAAAGAACTAGAACTTTGTGGATGAAGTCACCGATAGAAGAAGAACGAAGTCCCTGTTTTGATAAACGTTTAAGTATTCTTCGAAAGAAAGTTAAAGAGGTCAAAGATGGAAGAAAGATCTCAATAGAGCCTGAAGTTCTTCGTGAGATATCCGACTCTTTGGATGATAATGGTAGTTCTGGTAAAGGAGACGATAAAGAGACAAAAACTTACGAACGATCGACGGAAGAGACGAGTATCAGATATGAAATATTAAACGAAGAGGACAATGGTAGTCCTTCGTCAATCGAAATCTCGAAAGGTAAATTTGATAAGGCTTTTGCCGAAAAGACGCATCATCATCGTGGCCGTGATGATCGAAAAACAGATGTCACTGAATCAACTTCTTCTTCGGAACTCAAAGAAAAGACTGAAAAGCATACGGAAAAACAAATAACCAGTCCAAAGAAGGAGATCAAAAAGAGCCAAAAGAAAACGGAAGGTAAACCTACTTTTCGGATATTGGAAAGGGAGATAACATTGTTGACAAAGAAACTCAGCAAATTGGGCGAAAAAAAGAGTCAGGAAAGTGCGAGAGGTGGAAGTACATTTCAGGAAAAAACTACTACTACTACTACTAGTACGAAAAAAAGTTTAAAAAAGGACGTAGATCAAAAGATCTCCAAAAGAACAGAAGATTCGAACAAGCATAGAATTAAAATATCAACAGAACAGCCGACTCCTAGCACGTCGAAAGCTACAGAACAAGGTACGAATCAACGAAGGGATGAAAGTACAACCAAACTGAGACACAAGTTAAAGTATCAGCAAGTTCAAGTTACGAGTACAGGAAGTTCAGAAATAGAGGACACTCATGAAAGATCGAGAAAAGAGAGTTCCGAATCGAATCAAGAAAATGTTAAAGAAAAGCAACTATCTACGATTCATTCTAAAATCAAAAGACAATCTCACGTGGAAGATCAGAAAGAAAATCTCGCATTAAAGGATCAAGAAAGTGAGAAACAAAAGGAATTTTCGAAAGAACATTCGAAGTCTGATTCGAAGTTTAGGAAATTGGATAAATCGATAAGCCATTCTCAAAAAGAAAGTTTATCGGAGGAATTTAGTACAAGTACTGGTTCCGATCGAATGGAAGGCAAAAAGGAGTTGGGTCCTCGTCGTAATTTCGATAAAAGAACAAGTACAAGCTCTTCTGATAATGTTCCGAGACAAATGGGTCAACGAAAATCGAGAAAGATGCGGGTAAACCAAACTGAAAAAATTTCCGATATTTCGTTAAAGGATACCACGGAAAAGGAGGATACTGAAAAACACAAAACGATTATGGACGATAGAAATGTTAAAAAGAAATCGAAATTAGTTAAAATGCATGCAGATGGAAAAAAGAAAGTTATGAGTGATTTAGAAAGTACAAAAGAGGATGATCGAGTGATAACATTGAGAGAAGTATTAAAAGATTTCGTAGGTTTTGGACGTATCAAAAAAGAGACGAGCGAGGAACAAGCATTTACCGATAATTTTGAGGAAATACCGAAGGAAATCGTTAAATCTTCGCAGGAAAGTGATAATATTACGATCGATGAAAAAGTAACAAGTAAATTAGAAACAAAATCACCGGAAGAATCAATAAAATATGATCTTCCAGATACAGAAAAAGAGGAAGTTAAAAAATTAAAAAATGATACAGATCAAAAGATCGAAATCGTTGACGTTCCTTCGAAGGATATTGAAGAAGATACAAAAAGTAAAATAAAAGAAGATAAAAAAACTTTCGAAATAGGTGAAATCGATGAACATTCTATAGATAAAAAGAAAACCGTAGAAGATTTTATCGAGGAATTACAAAAAGAGATCTATAGATCTCGTATATCGGATAAAGAAAAAAGCGAAATTGCTATTACTTCGAGCGTGTCCCCGATCGATAAAATCTTATCGAAAACTACAATAATACCTAGTACGTCTACAGATATAATCCATGAGAAAGTATCTTCGTCAGATAAGGTTGATAAAATTGATTTCAAGAATGAAACAGAAGTAACAAAAAAGGAAGATGAAATAACTACGAGAAAAGATATCGAGAAATCTTTCGAAATGAAAAATAAGGATGATTTGTCTGTAAAAGATAGTGAAACAATTCCCATGCTCGTAAATATTGAAAAAGAACAAAAAAAATCATTTGACCAATCTACAAAGATAGATAATGAAATCGCAATGAATTTAATTGAGATTACTGATAAGAATTCGCAATTTACGTTATCAAAGGACAACGATAAAGTTAAAGAAATCGAAGATAAACAAAGTTCGTCTAAATCTCTAGACGACAAAGATACGAAGAAATTTGAAACGAAGGATGTGAAAAAAGATACAGAAGATAATTCGATAACAACGAATGATCCAAGATCTCTTATGGACACGACGAAAATGATTGAAACGGTTTTAGAAATCGCGAGTAAACGTAGTTTACCGGAAGTAAGTGACATCGATAAAAAGTTCGAACTTAAGGACTCGTCTAGTGTAAAAAGTGAAAAGGATTATGAGCATATAGAATCACTTATAATCGACAAAAATATAGAAAATAATGGTAAAAGAGATTCGATTCTTGTTAGTGCGGAAGTCCATGTTGAACAAATTCCTGAAGAAATTATGGACGATAGTCGAGATAGTGATAAAACTAAAGAGATTTTAATTGATCAAGAAGATAAAAATAAAATCGATATATCTGTCTCCGGAGAAGATAAAAAAAGTTTCATTGAAGAAAGTCAAATTAGAACATCGCCAGTTAAAGACATTTCAAAATATCTTGAAATGAAAGATACAGAAATTATTGCTGAAAAAGATATATCAATAAAAGATATTAAACAAAGTAGTATAAATGTAGAGGAGAAAGATATTGAAAGATCTCAAATAAAGACAGAAGACGCGATATTAAAGAAGGAGGAAGAAGGAACGATATTAATTATTAAGGAAGACACGATATTAAAGAAGGAGGAAGAAAGCGATGAAATCGATGTAAAAGGAGACGAAAGTGATAAAGAAAAGCAAGAATTAAAGATGACTTCGATCGAATTATCTAAAGACAAGGATGAAGATAAAAAAGATATAAAATCAGAACCTTTAAAGGATGAAGTTACGAAAGATTTGTCATCGCCGAAAAACTTGAAAACACATGAAAAGCAAAAATTAGAAGAAATAAAAATCACAAGTCTACCTCTGACTAAACCGGAACTTCCAATATTATCAGACATAGAAGATCGATTAACCAGCCAAAAGGAACAAATGGAAATGAAAATAGTCGAAGAATCAAAGGACTCTATAGATGATACGAATCCAATTGATCCGATTAGAGTGGAAAAACCATCAAAACCTCCTTTGCCGATCGAAATATTAGAACCATTGAGTCCCCAAGAAGAACCCAAGATACAAACTGATACAATGGATATCGATGAAGAGAAAGAAAGTAGACCATTCGTTGATATCAGTGTGATTAAATCTGTAGAGGAATTAAAATTTGACGAGATAACTCAATCAGAAGATAAGGATTTTTCTGAGAAAGAAACCACAGTTTTGTTGGAGGACAAAGGTAATCAAGGTAATGTAATTAAATTAAAGATGGAAGAGGACCAAGAGGAAAAAGAAGATCCAAGTAAACAAGATAAGGTCGTTGAAAGTGAAAGCCCGGATGAGACGAGCTTACAACCTGGAGATGAATTTGCAAAGGAAGAACTTCTAAAGAGGACGGAGGAATACGAAAACGTAAGCCCTACAATTTTTACGAGCATTATCGATACACCGGAAGATTCTGATGAGAGTGACTCATCCAGTGATATTTCCAGGAAAACAACACTGACCACGAGACCGTACCAAACGCCTCGACATCGCGCTAAGGACGTATCTGAAAAAGAAACCCTTTCGATGGAAATGATCGGAAGTGTATCGGACGTTGATAATATGGAATTGAGGGTTGAAAAGTTAAAAGATGAAAATGGCGAACATCAAGTAATCGATGTAACTATGGACGTTATAAAAAATCTTCCTACTGTATCGCAGGAGACAATGGAGTCTGAGAAAGATAATTTAAACGATAAAAGTATCGAGATAGATGAGAAATCTAAGGAGTCAATCGAAAAGAGTTCACCTTTTATACAAAAAACATCAAGTATAGTTATTGAAAATCAAGAAAAAAAATCTAGTCCACAAAAAGCGAAGGATATAAAGGATCCGGATAATACAAAAACGACGATAGTAAAAGATGAGTCGAAGATGGAAAAGGACGATAAATCTGATGAGATTAAGGATAAACGAGTAAAAAAATTAGAAAAGGATAGAAAAGGAGGAAAACAATATCCAGAACGTTCGAAAGTCATGGCTCGCAAAGAAAAGAAAAATGTATCAGAGGAAGTAACCGAAATTAAAAAGGATCCATCTTTGGGAAAAACATTTCGTCAATCTAAACGTCGTCCTTCCAAACCGACCGAAGGTCAAGTGGAGAAAAATTTGGAGAAAAAATCAGAAAAAGAAAAGATAACGGCAACGTCGAAGAAGACGGAGGAGGATCGATCGAAATCGAAAAAATCGAGATCGAGCAGTGGTGAGAAATCGTCGAGTTCACCAAAAACGGGTGACACTGAAACTGGCAAGACTCGATCTAAATATATGGCTTGGTACACGAAGAAAAGAGAAGAAATGGAGAAAAATAGGGAAGCTAAAAGAACAGAAGAACAGGACGAACAGGATCAGCAGTTACCACGTTGGTTGAGAAGGAGTTTGGCTCATAAAAGATCGATTCCCGATGAGAAAAAAAAATTAGAGATTAAAACACCAGAAATAACACCAAGAACCAGACGTAAAGTGAAACCTTTGGTAAACGTTGAGTCTGAACAATTAAAGGCTATTGTTCGTCAAGGAAGAAAATTGAGAAAAGCTGAAGGTGAACAATACGAGGATCCTCCGATACAAATTTTTGCCTCGACTCCACCCGCACCACAGCCATCACTGACGGAATCAAAATATCCTCGTCATCATTTATTTCAACATTCCGAATATAAATATGAAAAGATGCCAGCACCATTTTATCTTCATCCTCCGCCAGCACCTCATCCCTCGCCCCAATTATCACCGGAACATTACGATTCACAACGAACGACTGAATTCGTAAGACCGGATGTCGAAGTTGATTCTGTTACTGGTGTATCGATGACACCAGGTCAGACGAGATTACGACATCAACAATTACTTGAGAAAAAGAGCGTCTTTGATATCGCTTACAGTGAAGCTGCACCGTCGCAATTAAGATCGGATAGTACAACGCCTCCTTCTTAATCAATTGGAAAGTGTAAAAAAATCCTGAAAAGAAAAGAAAAAAAAGGAATCTTTTCCTTTTATAAATGTGCAATAAAATATACGATACTCGAGATATCGTGATATAAATGATATTAATTAAGGAAAAAATAAGTTACGTGAAAGAATTAAAGGAACGAATGAAGAGAATAAATATATAGAGGGATATTTTGAATTTGAAATTTTAATAAAATGAATATAACGATATAAATTTCGATAACAATCTGAACGAAGTTGTCGATTTAAAGAAAATAAAAATTTATTAAAAATCGTGGCCTTTTAAAATATAGGTAAAAACATTTGTCGATATAAAATATTTCATCTAATATTTCTATATTCTCTCCTTGATTAATTTTCACTAAAAAAATAAATTAATTATATCTATCGTATCGCGCGTGGTGTATCTTTTGTTATCACTACTGCCATTCGAAAAAAAAAATGATACGAATTAATTAATTATTAAGCACATCGCATCGATGACGAATTTTTTTATTACGACTGTTAGCTCATTGTAACGGTGTTTGTATTAATCTTGTAAATACATGTGTATAAAAATTCTAATAACCTGTGTTAACGTAATCAATCGTCGATCCTTTTTACTTGAAATATATTTAATCTACAATTTAATTCTCTGTTTATCGATGTAATAAATACGATTTTACATATGTATATTCAAATGTAAATCTGAGTCCCGCCGAAAGAGCTTCTGCCTTTTCTACCATTCTGTTACAAAAATATCCTCGGTCTCTTGACTTTATCCACTTATCTTTCTCCAGTCAATTTGTTTGCTCTTTCTCTTTCTCTCTCTCTCTCTCTCTCTCTCTCTCTCTCTCTCTTTCTATCTCTCATTCTCTCTTTCTCTCTCACTTTTTCTCTCTTTCTTTATCTCTTTCTCTATTTATCTCTCGGTGTCATGTTCAAGAATAACTTAACTTCATTGATAAACTTATATAACTATCGATCGGATTTGCAACAGGTTTATATAGAAAATATTATTGGACATATTTCATCATTAAATTATATATATATATATATATATATATATATATATATATATATACTATATATGTATATACATTTAAATTTCAATATACAAATATTAATAATAGTAAATAATAATAAAAAATTTTCTACAAATATTATGAATTAAAAATATTCACCTTGAATGTAAAGAAAAAATATCATTAATAATTTCTATCATTCATATTAAAATATTTAATAATTATCAACGAATGTAGAAAATAAAAATTTTGTTTAATAACGATTATAACGTTATCGTATGCGTATTTGCGTATTTCTACGTGTGAGGAAGAGAGACAGATGATCGATGATAATGACGAACTAAACTGAGAGAAAGAGAGAGAGAGAGAGAGAAAAAGAGAAAGAAAGAGAAAGAGAGAGAGAGAGAGAGAGAGAGAGAGAGAGAGAGAGAGAGAGAAAAGATCGAGTCGAGTGACGTAATCAGTAGCTCGTAATGACTTTTCTACGTTTCTTTTTTGCGTTCGCTTTACGTTCGCATTGACGTAAAATAGACGAATGAATGGCGTAAGGGATACGACAAAAATGTTGTGACGTTACCGATGCAACTAACCTACCGTAATCAAAAACATAATGATGGTGCATCAAACATAACCGGAGACTGGTAAATCTTTCCACGGGGATAACATGATATTGAAGTTGGTTGTTTCACTTCACTTTTCCAAGGCGAACCAATGTGTTAGTTCCACGGATGCATTTATAAAAGTAGCGACGAGAACGAATCGTCTTTATGTTTGCCTGTTTGTTGAGAACGATGATGGTTGGCCGTTTCGTAAAGACCTGGAAAATATTAATCCCAATATGGTCCTTAACTTGTCTCGAATCATCTCGATAATTATCTCGGTCTCTATTCGACGATAATAATTAAAATATTAATTATTATTGTCGATTTATAAATTTAATAAATATTTTTTTTTCTTTTTCTTTTTTTTTGTTTTTATTGTTTTTTTATTGTTTTTTTTTTTTTTTTTTTTTTTTTTTTTTTTATAAGATATAACTATGTAATTTTAAATGGACGAACATTGTCTGGTAATTTTAGAGTAATCTATATTATTTTAAGGACAATGAAAATGTCGTGTTTTGCGATATGACACGTCATTAGAATAATTGAAAAATAAATAAAGAACGAAGGAATAGTTTGGATTATATTAATATTCTTAAAGAACATAGGGATAATTTTAAAAATCATATTAGTTAAAAAGTAAAAGAAAAATTAACATGATAATTCATTGGGATTGATTAACATAAATATTTGAGTATCAATAAACATTGAAAATGAAAATTCGATCCATGTTAATAGTTATATTACAAATTTTAATTGGAAACGTTTGCATGATAATTTCCTCTCCTTCTTTCTCTCTCTCTCTCTCTCTCTCTCTCTCTCTCTATATATATATATATATATATATATATATATATATATATATATATATATGTAAATGTCATCAATGTTATTATAAGTTAATGAATCCGATAAAAACAAACAATTTAATATATATATATATATATATATATATATATATATATATATATCTATATGCATTCTTTATATTTATTTATAAATTAAATTGAAACATAAATAATTCAGTTATTTGTTTTCTCGTTTACATTTTGAAATTTATTTCCGATATTGAAATTGATTAAATTTAAGAATTATTTATAAATCTTTTCGAATCGATGAAAAATTTATACATAATAAATAAAATTTGTCTAAAAATATAACGAAATTTTTGAGATCGCATAATTCTTGTTAAAGTAATAATAAAATAATAATAATTAATGAATTATATATTAATAATATAATAATAGTTGAATATACTGTTACGATAGGAACGTCTAACATTTTTTTTATCAAAACCTTCTTACGAAAACAAAAAGGAATATATTTTAAATTTCACTATCTTATATGTACTAACACAATTTATATAACTCATTAATTTTTCTCTATGTACTTATTTAAGTACTTACTTAAAAATCCTCTCTAAGTACTTACTTAAAAATTCGAGGTAATTGCTTATTTGAAAAAAAAAGAAAAAAAAAAAAAGAAAAAAAGATTATGCAAATTAAGAAAATTTGCTCGAATATTTCTTTGGACAAACTTTTGTTGTCGGGAATGATAATAATAATTGTCAGAGAAAATTTTCGTTACTTATAAATGTTTAAAAAAAGAAAAATAAAAAGAAATGAAACAATATTATCTCATAACGATGATGAGATTTCAAACGAGAATTTATGGGGTTCCCGTGGGGTTGCTCTCCCGATATGGTCTCTTTTCTCTTACGAGTCTGACAGTTAATTACAAGGTTTTGTGTCCTGTGAAAACTATTCCCGTATGAACAATGGATAAATGTTAATTGTTGTTAATAAAGAGTCATACATGTTGCTGTTGCAACGGCGAGCAGAGCCGCGGAAGAGGCTGCACCTGTAGCAGCCGTGGGCGAAATGCAAACACACCTGAAACCTTTGACCTTTTCTATCGACTAGCTTGCTACCTCCCCTTACAGTAGCTTCTATCCTCTCCTTGCCCTAAACTTTCTTCGTAGCTTGTTGGTAACGATGAAGAAAAGTTTAAACGCCGAAATGTTTAAGTCGATTATGCGATCGTTCGTAGAAATATATATGCAATATCATAAAAGATAATGATCATTCCATTGGATTTATTTTGATATAATAATGAAATATTTTAAATATAAATTGCCGATCGTATATTGATAAAAGATATTTTTTAACATTGTACATATTATACATGAACATATGAAAAAAAAGCTTTCTATCTATTTTCGAAACAATTATTATAAATTAAGTATACCTATTATAATGTTAGAAGAATAAATTTTTAAAAATAATTAAACAAAGAAAACAATTTTAAAATGAATTTATTCGAAAAGAAATACATAGAGATATTTAAATTATAATCCTTCGGAAACATTAATATGTATAACCAATGACGTAGAAAAACTTTTTAGACGTTTCTTGCCACGTTACAGCAGAGAATATCTAAATAATTTATAAATAACGTATTATTTATTGTTTTAACTAAAAGCAATGAAAAAGAAATATGACAATATTTTTAAAATATATAAAATTAAATTAATTCAGTTTTTTTTTCTTTCTTTTTTTTTTTTTTTTTTCTTTTATTCTTTTTCTCTCGAAAAATTCTTTTCACTAGCGAAGCCGAGGGTACCATCATCTCGTAGCTACGTTCTTGTCCGATTTTGCATCAAAAGAAAGATCACGAAATATAATTAACGTCGCGTTTGGTCATGTGTAAGTTTCAACTAGCTTTTACGAAGGTTTCGAACAAGGTTTGGCCCGCTCTTTAATGGCCATCAATCATTACCAAATTTTGGCAACGAGTCGGACAACACGGGCGACAGGACACCATCACCAAAGTAGAGTTCTCCGGGACCACGTTGGATGCTGGGGATAGGAAAGGGACGAGGAAGGGTGGAGGACGAAGGGGCCACCGAGAGAAACGGTAGAGTTAGTTCGATACTCCCGAAAAAGTTGGTCCTCTTGCTTGTGTAGAAACTTTCACGTGGAAGAGCTCGTTATTGTGTAGGTGTGTGTGTGTGTGTGTGTATGTGTGTC